TCCATCAAGAAGATTGGAGAAAAACGGTATCTCTTTAATTTTAATCATGCTTTGAATATGAATCGTGTGATTGAGGATGGTCCATGGCTGTTTGAACGTGGTTTAATTCTCCTGAAAACAGTTCAGCCAGATGACATACCTGAATCTACGAATCTGTTTGAGGCTAGTTTTTGGATACAGGTTCATAATGTCTCTATTAAATTTAGGAATTTGGGATCTGCATGGAAGATTGGAAATATTTTAGGCTCTTTTATTAAGTTTGATAAAAGTCACTTAGAAGGCAATCAAAAACCTTATCTGCGTATACGAGTTGCTTTGGATGTGCGCAGGCCTTTGAAAAAAGGCACTACCTTAACTAAGGATGGGGTCAAACACTGGGTGGACTTTAAATATGAAAAGTTACCCAGTTTTCTGTTTTTTTTTTGTGTGGGATAATTGGGCATTCGGATAAATTTTGTCCACTGAAATATGAAGAAGGTTTTGTTGTTGAGAAATCTTATGGAGCTGATCTCAGAGCTAGAAGAAGGGTGAAGACCAGCCCAACCGGATCTAACAAGTGGTTAAATTAGTTAATGAGGCTTCTAGTTCGGGTGGATATGGTCAACAACGGAAGTCTGATCTCGGGGGAGAGTATTCAGCAGACTCAAAGCCTAGCATATCCCAGCAGGGCAAGACGGATGGTAAGGAAGAATCCCCGGGCGACACTAAACGCAGAAGAATCTGGGAAAGTCAGACGAAGGGAGGCATAGCTGGAGAGGGAATGGCTCTGATGGGCCAAAAAATGGGGAGGCGGAGGGCCAAGCTCTTTAGGCCCGCCGAGCTTTTATCTGAAGATGGTGATTGGGAAGACAAGTACTGGATTTAGTTTTAATGTTTATTTTATCTGTTTTTTTCATGGTTGGATGTTTCTGTTTTACTTTCATGTTTTTTTTTGTTCTGTAAGACTCTTGCATTAGGTTTGGGGGATGAGAGGTCTAGCGGTAATCGTCATTGGCTTAATGTTGCCCAATTCAGGTCTAGCGAGTTATACTGCTTTGGTAAAGGTGGTTAACTCTGAGTCTCAGCCAAGGGCGGATGGTTATTTGTGATTCTTTTATTATCCTACACCCCTGCTGAATGCTAATTTAATGATATGTCACATTCGATAAAAAAAAGTTAGTAACGTGCTAATATGTATTACTACCATATAGATTTCCTTTATTAGCATTCTTATTATAATCTTTACTTTCCAATAGTTGTAGCAACACTGCCACTTCATATTATATAAAGATAAAGATTGTTATTTCCTTGTACTAAGTTACTAACATTGTAATACTCCGTATGTATTACTACTATATATATATATTTCCTTTTTTAACATTCTTATTAGGGAGTATAATCTTTACTTTCCTTTTACCTTCACATGCATTGGGCGGGAAAATTGGAGCCAAAAGTTGTAGCAACACAGCTACTTATACTGTTATTACTTATATATTTTTGTAATTACTTCAGTCAAATTCTACTTTTTTCTTGCAGCAGTTTGCAACTTTATAATGAAAGACCGTATGGAGTAGATGTTCGCCGTTAAGTGTTTCGACTTGTAAGGCTTAATGATGATTATGTTGTTATAACAATAATAAGGGTAACTTGGATGTTTGAGTTTAAATTTATTTATTAATATTTAATTTTGTGCATTTGATTAGTAAATTAAAGGTTGTGAATATAATTATCCTTTAGTTACAATTTAGAGCATATCAGATTACAACAAATCAAATCATACTAGATTGCACTTGATTAAACCATATTGAATTAGAATAGACTTGAACAAAGAAAAACAAACAAGTTTTGACTAAATTCGAATTTGAATATTATTGATAAGAATATAAGATACACATAAACATACCAACATCACACTAAAACAATTCAGGTAACACTTAAAACAACCTCTACGTACACGTCAGGCCAACTGAACAAGTTAATTAAGACCAAGCCTATTTATATAGGTCCAAATGAACACCTTTTTATTAGAGGAACATATTGAGAACCATTTATTCTAGCCCCATGACCCTTCGATTGAAAGAAAGATCTCCGCTCTCCTGTCTTTGACTGTTGTACTATGCTGACATTTTATCTATTATTTTTTGAACAATGATACTTTAAATTATTTTATGAAGTACTTTGTATGCCTATCCAAAAATTTCAAAATATGGTTTTTTGAAGAGAAATTTCCAAATAGGAGTAAAACTATGACAAAAATTCAAAATAGAACTTGTTATGTTTTTATTCCAAAACAGGATCATATTACTCCTATTGGAAAATGGAAACATACCATTTGTTTCATTTCATTCTTACACCTCCTTTTAAATATGAATAAAAGGTAGTCAAAAATCATAATTAAATGTTTAATTCATAATAATTTTTTTATAAAATATGTTTCAAAAAAAATTAAAAAATAATAATAAATAAATAGTAAAACTCTATAAAAAAATCATAAAAGATATGGATGCCTTTTCCACCATTTGTATTGTCTCCCTGCACCACCACCTCTGATTGTTGTAAAAATGTCATTTTTTCTAAAAACTGCCATTTTTTGTTTTCTTCTGCAAATGCCAAAAAATGACATATTACTCTTTGAGAATGCCGACATTTACATTGTTTCTGCCATAAATATGGATTTCGTAAGGAATGTGACATTTTTTCCCTTGGTGATTGGAGGTGGTGGTGCGGGGCGACAGAGGCGGGGTGTTATTTTCCTTTTTATTTGTTTTTTTTTATTTTTTTAAATTTTTTATCAAATATGAAGTATTTTTATTATTTTTTTAGTATTTTTTATGATTTTTTTAATTAAAATTTTATTATGAATTAAAACATTTCAATAGCAACGAGGGTATTTTTTGTCCAATACACACATAATTAGTCCTATCAAAACATAATTTACTTTTTTGTCCTATTTGTGCAAACTAACAAGCTTTTAGTCCTATTTTGATAATTAACCCTTTTTTGAAATTTTAATAAGGACCAGTTAAAGTAGTTAATCGCCAAAGTAATGTTCCGACTTCCGACAAATGTGAAACTACAAATGATGTAAATAATAAAGAGCAGATCGAGTGTATCGTAGACATTACAATGCATAATAATATTAATAGATCATATTTTTAAGCAATAATAAAAATAGTCTCTCTGTGCTTCAATACCCTTCCTTACCCCACTGTAGAATGCGTACATCCGACCCCCCTTACCCCACTGTAGATGGGAGCCTTTGCAGTACTAGAGTAACGATGATGAGGTTTTTAAGCAATAATGTGTAACAATAGTTTTCAAAGCAGAGTAGGACATTCAAATGTAATAATTGCCCCATATGGAAAAAAAGTTTTTAAAGCGTAGGCTGCTTCCAGGCTTTCATAGGAAGCAATGGTGTAGCGAGGATCAAAGGTTGCGGTGGGTCAATTTAAAGAATTTTTGAGATAAATTTTCACACATAACTTTTTACACTAAAAATACAAAATTTTTATCAAATTTGGGGTGGGTCGACCCCCGGTTGACCCCCTCTACCTCTACCCCTGATCGGAAGAGAGAAGTGGAACCTCCGGGCAAAGAGAGATGATGAGCATTGGGTATGAACATGACAAAAGGATTGCTTTAGGGAAGAACTTTACACATGAACCAGAATGCAAAGAAGTGGAAGAGAAGAAAACATAAACAGATAAACACATGAACATTCATCCACATGGCCACATGGGAAATCATATAATCCATGTCTCAAGAAACGGTCACGAGAAGGAAAAAACGGTCATAAAATAATGGATAATGACTATTTATATTATGGATATTCAAGTCTATTATTATGGGATGATATTCAATTCCACAGATTTTATAACTTTTTTCAATACAACAAAACTTTTAGGAAAAATGGAAACTAATAATCCAATCTTTTAGCGGTCTTCTTATAATAGTCCCACCTTTTGATTATTCATGAATAATCCAACTTTTGCACCTCATCTTCATTCACTGGTCCCTGACCGGTTCATGACCTGCTGTTCCAAGTTATTTTCTTATCTTTGCAAAATATTATCTTTGTGAAAGGTGAGATTTATGGTATAATGGGTTGCAAAGATAAGAAAATAACTTGGAACAACAGGTCATGAACCGGTCAGGGACCGGTGAATGAAGATGGGGTGCAAAGGTTGGATTATTCATGAATAATCAAAAGGTAGGATTATTGTAAGAAGACCGCTAAAAAGTTGGATTATTAGTTTCTATTTTTCCAATCTTTTATTCATTTTTAAAAGTCTACGTTGGATGCATTTAAGCTTTGGTGGATTTTTAATTATTTTATAAAAGTCGGTTTGTGATTGCTTATTACGTATGAATATCCTTTTCCCAAAAATGAGAGAAGTTGTTTGGAACAAACGGAAAAAAGGCGGGACAAGTATTTTGGAATGACGGGAATAGTTTATTATGGCTTAGTTTTTTTATTTATAAAAGAATCTTCTATTTTTTCTAGTTTTATTTTATTTGAATAACTCTCTAGTTCAGTTAAAAAAATCACTTTCTAGTTGTTTAGACAAAACGGTTAAGTTTAGCTGATCGTCGAACCACTCCCTCATTGGATAGGTCTCTCGTTTGAAACTCCATGGAGGGAATTTTAGTCACGTTACCCTGGGCTCTCCCAGTCCCCTCCCCTTGACACCTCGGGATAAAAAATAAAACTTTCTAATTTTTTAATTAATTTTTCTTAGTTTAACATTTATTAAAAACTTATTTTACCTTTTCTAATTTTCTAAAGACTAGTCAAAATAGTTACTCTCGAGAAATATCCTCCTAATAGCTTAGTTTGATTGTATATACTTGAGAGAATTCCATGAATTTGATAAAAACATAACACATTTTCCCCAATATTGTTTCTCACAACTCATTCATTCCTAAAATAGAAAATTTACTTCTACTCTTTTATTTCATTCCTAGATTGAAACATATTAGTCTTATTTGTAATTTAGTTTTTCACAGCTATTATAGGCAATTTCTTACTTAACTTGGTTTCAGTTTAAAATAAGTGTTCTTCACTAAGCATGAAAATCAAAGCAAAAATTCTAAATCTAGTTTGAAAGAAAACAAACCAACACTATCATCGTTTCTAGTAAATAAAACAACTATGGAACTGGAGCAAAGGCATTAAAAGCCAATCTTAAGTTCCTAAGGTATGTACACCATCAATGGTGAGTATTGCTTCTACCCGCTCTCGACAATTGCTATGCAACTCCATTAGGGTCAACTTGTATTAACATCTTTGTTTTTTCTTTACATTTAAGCTACCCATTAGGGAACAATAAGAAGCATAGTCAAGAACAAGCCCCATTTCACGTCGTAGAATCATATCACTGCCATCACCAAACTTCACGCGCTTCCTCAAATGTCCTTCCAAAAGAATGTTGTACGTGATGTCATCGGGTACAACCCCTATATTAAGCATAGCATGCAATAGCATCTCTGCGTTCTTCATCTGACCTTGTTTGCACAAACCATTCATAATCACATTATAGGTTATCACTCCCGGTCTATATCCATCCCTTTGCATTTCTCTCAACAGCTCAAACCCCATTTTCACATCTCCCTTCTTGCAAAAGCCATCAATGACCATAGTGTATGTTTGAACATCAGGTTTTAAACCGACACTCAACATTTCTCTTAACATTCTCTGCGCGTCTACTAACTTCCCTTCTCGGCATAGACCTGTGATGAAGGACGTATATGTTACATTGTCGAGCATTATCCCATTTTCTGTCATTTCTTTTTGGACCTCATACGCAGCGTCTACATCTCCCGCCTTGCAATAGCCATCTATGAGTGTGGTATATGTGATCTTATCAGGTCTTATACCTTTTTCGTTCATTTGGGAGCTGAGTTTCCGGGCCCCCATTAGGTCCCCGCTCTTCAAAAGCCCATCAAGTAGTGTGTTACATGTGATCAGATCGGGCCAAATGTGGTTTCTCAGCATACGTTGATAGACATCCATGGCAAAGTCAACCCGCCCGTCTTTACAGTGCCCTTTAATCAATGTTGTGAAGATCACATGGTTGGGGAGTAAACCTCTCTCACACATTTCATCAAACACTTTTCCTGCAGCAGACATTAAACACTTCTCGCAATGGCCATTGATCAAAGCACTGTAAGTATAAACATCTGGAACTACTCCAGTCTTCTCCATTTCAGTCCTAAACCTAAACCCTGCAGCTAAATCACCTGATCTGCAATATCCATTGATCAAAGTGTTGAAGCTAACAGCTGTAGGCAATATGCCCCATTTCCTAATTTCATCAAAAACCAAATGAGCTTCCCTCAGTTGGCCTTCCCTGCAGAATTTATGCATCAACATATTGAAACAATACACACTTGGAGGACACCCTGCTTCTAATAGCTCCTTATATAACCCCCAACCTACCAATGGTGCAGCTTTCATCAAATGATCAATCACCCGCGAAGAAGCTTGAAGCGGAATAACCAACCTATGCTTTTTGATAATCCGAAAACACTGGATAACATCCGAGATAAAACCAGATTCAAGATACAGAACGATGAGGCAGCAGGAAAGCCGAGTGGTGGAGTCGGGTGTACCTTTAGATTCAAGAATGGCAGTAAAAATCGCAGAGGCTGAATTCTTCCCTTTTCTCGAAACAATTGTTTGCAGAAGAGATTGAGCCTGTGGGAGCATGTTGGAGGCGGAGAGGAGGTGAGCCATGGTGCAGTAGGTGTGGAGGGTGTGGCGGAAAGGGGATGGGTGAGAGGAAAGCCATGTGAAGAAGGAGTACAGAGATGAAGTGGGGAGAGAGTGAGGGTTGAGATTGATCAGGTCGATGATGTGTTGGGGTTTAAGAGATGGAAGGACGTTTTTGAGGGAGGCTTGGAGGGATTTCCTAGGGGAATTCGTTATGGCTTCTGAAAGGCTCGTGAGGATTGGATCGATCTGAATGCTTTGAGGAGCTTTTGGCGGAGTAGGAGGTGGAGTGAACCAAGGTTTGGGTACAGAAACGGCGGCGGCGGTGTGGCGGCGGCAGTTAAGGTGCACTGCGCTCATCTCCGGCACGGAGGGAGTCGACGTGAAACAGAATGGTTTATGCCTTCCAGGTTTCAAAAAGAACCGGCTCTGTACATATATACTATGTATTATTATATACAAACCCCGACACTTTCATGGTGGCAAAATATCAGAAGTCTTCAATAATGATAGCGAGGGTCAAATCCTCCGCAGGCCTCTGGGTGTTAGCTTCCACAGCCCTGACACGCCATTGCCACACGTCCTCTGGGGTCACCTCTCTCGATCTCTTACACCTTCTTCAACTCTCCATTGATTCTCGAACTCTCAAACTCGCCCAACAATGCCATGCTCGGATCCACTGTTCGGGCCTCACCCAACACTCCGTTCTTGCAACAAAACTCATCTCAGCATACTCGACGTGCCAAAGCCCATTCAGTTCACAGCTCTTCTTCGACTCATTCGTAACAAAGAACGTTTACATTTACAACACACTGATCAATGGATTGGCGAAAAACAGGTTCTTTGTGCAAAGCATTCGTCTTTTTGAGCAAATGTGTGGTAGTACTGTTTCGCCTGATGAATTCACATCCTCCAGTGTTGTGAAAATATTGGCCGAAGCTGGGGATTTTATGTCAGGGAAGATGGTTCACTCCATGTGTGTAAAAAACGGGTTTCTTTTGGACATTGTGGTCGCCAATTCTTTCATGTCTTTGTATGTGAAGAATGAGAGTCTCTCTGATGCACTGAAACTGTTCGATGAAATGCCAACTAGAAATTTGGGTTCTTGGAATGTTATTATTTTGGGCTATGTACGTTTGAAAGATAAAAGTTCTGAAAATGGGTTGTGGGAGTTCGTGAAGGAGATGAAAATGGAAGGATGGGACTTCGATGCCTTTACGGTTTCAACTCTACTCTCATTTTGCGTAGAGGATCGGAAAACGTGGCATTACGGAAGGGAACTCCACTGCCACGTCTTCAAGAAAAGCTTAAATCTAGAAATAGGAATAAGTGGTGATGATCATCACTTAGGCTGTTGTTTAATTGACATATACTCAAAGAGCGGCAGAGTTAACCCAGCAAGAAAGGTTTTTGAACAGTTAACCCATAGGAACGTGTTTGCATGGACATCAATTTTAAATGGTTATGTACAAAACAGTAACTTCAAAGAAGCCTGTCAGCTTTTCTTGAACATGCAAGTAGAAGGAATCACACCAAACAAGGTTTCTCTTGTATGTATCCTCCCTGCTTGCAGTTCAATGGTAAGTCTAAAGGGCGGCAAACAAGTCCATGGGTTCGCCATTAGGCAAAATTTGAACAAAGAAGTGTCTTTCTCAAATGCTTTAGTCGATATGTATTTCAGAACCGGAAGCTTCAAAAGTGCAAGACTTGCTTTTGAGCATGGGTCAACTATCAAGGATAGGATATCTTGGAGTTCAATGATTCTGGGATATGGGCTACACGGGAAAGGCCATGAAGCAATATCTATGTTTAATCAGATGCTTAATACTGGGATCAAGCCGGATATGATCACAGCTGTCGGCGCTCTTTCAGCTTGTGCAAGATCAGGATTGGTGGATGAAGGCATCAAGATATTTGACTCTGCCTTAAATGATTATGGTGTTAAACCATCAGTAGAAATGTGTTCATGCATGGTTGACCTCTTCGGGCGGTCTGGACAGCTGGACCGTGCACTTGAGTTTATCACCTCTATGCCTGTGGGACCTGGGCCGAGCATCTGGGGGGCCCTCTTGAACGCATCCACACTACATGGGAACGACAAGATGCGTGAGTTGTCGTACAAGTTTCTTGTTCAGATGGAACCAGACAATCCATCCAATTATGTTTCCCTTTCGAACTTATATGCTTCTTCCCAGAGATGGGATGTTGTTTCAGAAGTTAGAAGGTTGATGAAGGAGAGAGGAATGAAGAAATTGCCTGGATGCAGTTGGATTGACATCAAGAAAGAAACTCATTGCTTTTATATTGCTGACAGGGCACATCCCTGCTGTGATATCATTTATGAGAGGTTGGATGAACTTAGTTCAATGATGAAGCAAACTGGTTTGGAGCCTGCGTTTGAGAGTGGGATAACGCTGTGTGAATGATGACTTGATCTACTAATGAGCTCCATGAATGGTTGATGAAAGTTTGAGGGAAGCTCTTTATCCTGATAAAAATAATTCATTATCTGCAGACAGACTCGCTAGTTACAAGGTATAGTGTCCTAAATCATGTTTTACAGATTTCTAATAACACAAGCTGTAGACTCATATAGATTATAGATGAAGCAAAAACAATTATAGTCTAGGTGGCGAGGTGCCTAGTTGCACTTGTCTCGACTCCAGTCAATGCCAGTCTTAAATCCTAAATTCTTAATTCATAATCATCATTAGGTTCATGATTGATATTTTTCAGGTTCATGATTAATATTATCTCCATCTTCCAAAACTTTGTTAGCACTCAAGACCATCTTCATTTTGTTCATTGATATCTTCACATTTACCCAAACTGAGTTACCCAGCATCTGTGTCAATCACCTTGTACTTAGCAACTAACTCAGTTTTGTTGATCATATTGGCCTGAGAGGATAGTTAGTGTGCTCTAGTTCCAAATAGATGTTACTCTTTGAGCACCAACCTAAATTCTAAACATACTTGTGCACTACTAGGCATAGATTTTTTCAATAAACTTTCATTTATAACTTGAAAAAAATTGCACAAGGCTGTTTTCAACCTAAGTTATTTATTCGGAGAAAGTAATAATTTATTTATAAAGATTATGCTCTGTGTCCTGAACGGTGGCTTTAATGTTCTGCTCCGGTATTTAATCAACAGACTGCATTACTTTGCTGGCTATGTGTTTCTAGCTAGCTAATTTAAGATGCTATGCTTGAGTCATCATTTGCTGCACTTTGTATGATATGATCATATGACCCTTCTTTGATAGTGTCTATATGCTAGCGACAATGTCTATATGCTAGCATCCTGAATGTAGCATGACCTAACTATACTTTCCGTTACTATTAGTATTTATCATCCGATACTTCTTGCATTTGTGTGATGTCTTTATACTTTAGTAGGCACATGCTAATGGGAATTACTTTGATACACATGCTAATGGGAATTACTTTGATATTCATTGCATTTGTGCTTCTTATGAGCAGGCATTAGTGGATATTCGCAAGCTCATTGAGCATGAAATGGAAAATTTTAAAATGTGCGAGAAAGAAACACAGACCAATGCATTTTCCTAGGCTTGGGCAATCAACCAAAGACGGTGAGCATTGGCATGCTCTGGATACATGATTGTATATTTGTATAGAACTTATGTAATTTTAGTTGCATCACTTGCATGAAATGTAATTACCTAACAACTCCATGTGTTTGGTTGGGGAACTTTTATTTTCATATTTGAAGTGATTGCAGGTTTACTCATCTTTCATTAAAAATTTGATGCTTGCGCTTAGGTTTGCAAAATAACAAAATATTTAGCCATGCTATTAACAGCGAGTTAGAACTAGATTTGAGCCACGCTTTTAACAGCAAGTTAAGGCTAGATTTTTTAATCGATGGTTCTTGGTCATTTGATTTAGATCATGATTATAGCTGGTGGTTACCAAAATATTGGATTTTGAACATCTTCAGTTTTCAAATGGGCTGTTAAAAATTAAAATTGCATTAGAATTGGATTCTGAGAACCTGTTTTAAAATCTGAAAAACGTATGTAAATAAACTAAATAAATGTATTGATATGAATTCCTAATTAGTCTTTACATGGTGCTAGAATTGGTGTTTAGCACTCTGGAGTCTTAAAGATCTTAAGGAAGTCATGGAGTGGAGCTTTCTGAAGAGCAATCTTGTACTGCTTAAATGAGAAAGCACATCTAAACATGTTACATAGCATTAGATTTGGAATTTGTATTCTCAGTATTTTATTTGAAAATATGATTTTGATTATGTTACCTTCTTAGCAATAAGCTTTTCGGTTATGCTAAACTAAGCTTCAATTTAGTGCCCATTGTGTTTTTCTACTTTGTCGGGACCAAGAGAAAAAGGGTATATCAGAGACTAGGGATTGGTTGAACAATGTGGTAGAGAGTTGATTGCGCAATTCATGCTATTCATTGCGAAGTCTTTTATTTACTGACATACTTTCAACATCTTTATAATCTATCTTTTACATTGACACTTGTCTTCCTATTGTTGACTTGTTGTAATTTTATCACCTAAGATGAGTTTATGTTGATTTTATTGAGTAATTTGAATTTAAATTGTTTTCCTTTGCATAGGTTAGTGTGCTTGAAAAATTAAATCGATAGCTTTGGAGCTGAACTGGAAGGACGTAGTTTTAAAAAAGGGAAATCAAAGCCACTAAGAATGGTAAAAGGAAACATCTTAACATTGAGGAGATTATATGTAATATCTATATACGCTCATATTTGATAAAACATCTGTTTTGCAGACTCATTTGGAGACATCAATTACTTGGCACAGGGCACATTATATCTTGAGTCCAGAGCAAATCAAAGATGTCAAAAATTTCCTGGACGACTATGTGGAATGCAATCAAGTTGCACTTGTTGATTAAGATTATTGTGTTTAATAAGTTTTCTATTTATGCCTATAATAATGTTGATGGCATGTTTTTTAAGTAAATGAGTATGGTGTTTTTTATTTATATAATGATGGCATGTTTTTTTAAGTAAATGATGATGGTATGTTAATTGAAGAATGTTGGTAAAGACACAAATAAGCTGTTATGCGGTGTTTAATTCCGGGGCATTTGAAGCACAACAAAAATCAATGAAAACCCTCAGAAGAGAACAGAACATGAAAACTTTTTTGAGAAACTTTTCTTATTAAGCGTCAATGGAAAATATCTTCAGAGAATTTAACTTGAAAAGTTAGTTGAGTACTTTTATTCTTCTTACTATTCCTTGTATGTCATTAAGTTTGTAACTTCAGTGATATTTTAAGTGTGAACTTAATTACAATCTGCCTCAATTTTTTTTTTTGCTGAAGTACAACTGTAAAATGTAAAAGGTGAAAACATAAGATACTCTGCCAAAGTATTAGTTGTAACTTGTAAGAATAAAAATCCTAAGGTTAATCCAAATTCGTCGTTATAAAAAGTGATAAAGAGAATACCATATATTGTGACATATGCATCCTGATTTTTTTTTCTGTCAAATTTTAGGATGACTTTGATGAGTTTGGTGATGCTGATGAGGTTTATAGCTCTCTACCTGTGGATAAGGTTGAGGTTCTTGAAGATCTAGTCACCATTGGTGCCACTGGTCCTGCCAAGGTAATATTATCATTCTTGACTCTTGACTAGATACATAGTACTATATCCGTCGACGAATATATGGTATTCTCTTTATATACCTGTGGATATATTATCATTCTTGACTCTTGATGTGAATTTATTATTGCTAATATGTAAATTAACTTTTGCTAATTCCGTTGCCTGACAAGAGCCATTTTAAGCTTCATAAGAAATTGTATTATCCAGGTACTTTTCCCGCTTTTAGTATTTGTACCCCTAATTCAATACATATAAGGTTGCCCCCCCATATGGTCGTCTCTTGAGTCAATTCAACTAGTTTTAAACATGAAATATGAGCCAACCAGCCAATAGACCGCTACCTCTTCGGTTGCCGTCCAAATATTAGACTATTCAATGGGGTTAAAGATGATATTTTGGGGATTATCATGTTTTTTCCATAATCTATTTTCCACTCTCTTCCACCACCATCAATGTGAATCACATAGATTTACGAATCTTATGCTACCCTCTAAACCTTAACACCATCAACGTATACATTTCTGGTCACTGGCTTACTTCCTCGCAAAAGTTGTACTTGTAACTGCTGGTTTTATACCCCTATACATCAAGGATGCATAATGTCTATGTCGAATAACGACACTTCTATTGATAAAATTTCAATAGAAGATAATGGGCCTAAACCTAATAGCTTAGCCCAGGGTTTCTAAATTTTCAAGTACCCCCCAATTGAGGCATCTAGATCATATACTTTAAGCTTAAAACAAACATGTTCTCAATCACAAAAATTGGAAGTGATCATGAACTCCACTTGAACTAACAGGCGTGGTTGGTTTTGTCAAGCAAAGAAATACTGAGTTGGGAAGTCACTATGGACTGTCTAAAATCAGCATCCAAAGACTCCCCAACCCCAAGAGTCCAAGCCCCCTTGAAGAATCTGTCCGTCCTCAGAATAGCACTAATCCATTCTCTACAACTCATTTAATGAGATATATTTTTGTAATGTCACAGCTTTCTAAATGAAAAATTAAGGGTAGATATGGATTCACCAAATTAAAATTTATTTTCATATCGGTTTTCTCAATCACAAAAATTGGAAGTGATCATGAACTCCACTTGAACTAACAGGCGTGGTTGGTTTTGTCAAGCAAAGAAATACTGAGTTGGGAAGTCACTATGGACTGTCTAAAATCAGCATCCAAAGACTCCCCAACCCCAAGAGTCCAAGCCCCCTTGAAGAATCTGTCCGTCCTCAGAATAGCACTAATCCATTCTCTACAACTCATTTAATGAGATATATTTTTGTAATGTCACAGCTTTCTAAATGAAAAATTAAGGGTAGATATGGATTCACCAAATTAAAATTTATTTTCATATCGGTTTTCTATGTAATTGAACATCGTGTTATATGATTTCCTGTTTCTATATTTTTTTATCTACATTTGTGGGGAATATATTTCTTTATTTCATATTTTAAATCTTTTAAAATATGTTTTCTGCGCTATCATGGTCATTGGTAGGCCGTAAATAACAAGTTCTTCTTAAATGGATGTTTCAGATGTTGGAGTCATAGGAAGAGAGTAAGAGGAGGAAACTGCAGAGGAGGAAATAAGGTGCAAGCCGGTCTCTAACATTTAAGCTTTGTCAAACAATGTATAGTTTATTTAACTTCTCAAACTATTATAGCACTTATACTTGTGATCTCATCTCATAATATAATGTTGCATCTTTTATGATATGGAAATAATTGTGCTTAAATATCACCGCCTTCAGTTTAGTCAGTTTTAATTTCTCCAGTTATCACTTTCTTTTAATGTTATAAGGTTTGCTCTTATTGATGCACCGCGTGCTTGTGTTAAAACATTAAAATTACTTTAAACTTTAGAGGGTTTTCTTTTAACATTGATAGAGATAACTTCAGCTTCTTGGTTCAGTCTTCATCCTTCTGGAATTAGTTCATCACCCCAAGCATTTTCTGCTCATGGTGTATACCGCAAGCGTTTTCTGTAACCATTATCAATTGTTCGGACGGTTGGATACTTTTTTCTTATTTGACATTCACTCTTCGCAGTAAATTATATTTGACTTTTAGCATTTTTGAAATTTGGATTCACTTCAGTGGCGAATTTAAATGCAAAAATATCTAAGAGTTATTTTCAATAAGTTTGATAGTGACATGCTACTTCTAAAAGAACATACAAACGTGAAAGTATGTTAGTAAAGCTGCTCAACCATGCAAGGTTAATCTTTTGCAATGAATTGTCCATGTCTCCCAAACACTTTTTAGAAGCATTGAATTGAAGTATAAGAGATGTGCTTCACTATACTTTGCTGTTAGCAAGCCTTAGCGGATATCATCGGCAAATAATGTCTCTTATTTCTAAAGCACACGAGACATGATATTGTACCACTATAGTTTAACACATCATCATTTTAAGGTGTTAAAAGTGACAAGAAATGTGAGACTTAAGACGGGTGGGAGGAGATGCTAGAATTAGTGATCGGATCTTGCAAATAGCCGATGGTGTTTTGGATATGATGATGACAATGAATTAGTGACATTTATACTCCAATTTTTCTTGCTCGAATGACACATGATCCCATTATTTATTAAGGATAGTACTATAGTATCCTAATTTCTTAAAACACATTAGTGACATTTCTTATTTATGATAAACAACCACTCTTGCAAGGCCATTGATGAATGTCGTACGACTAATGATCACATGTTGAAGTTTTTTCTTGGTGATTTAATTAAAGACATTCGGAGTATTATTAGTAACTTTAATTACCTTAATCGTTTGTGTTTATTTTATCGTGCAGGCATGGCATTGCCCTTACATGAATGGAGCGAAACAACCATTGAGGAGTGGATTGGCATATCAAGCTTATTCTTACCACGTCTTTTTAGAGAATATTTATAATGCAAAATGCGTTTTACAATTTCAAAAATAGTTCAAATGTAAAACATTGTTATTCCTGTGACATTTTATTTTTGAAGCCATTTTATCCTAAATTATATTCCTTGTATAATTGATATATAAGGAATATGTAATCAAACATACCGGATGAATTTGCTCACTTTTTAATATTTACTTAGAGGTTTCTTTAGGTGGGAGTAGAAAGAATGATTGTATATGACTCTTTTTTACTTTAGATATGAGTTTGTATAATGATTTTGATTTGAAAATTGAAATTATTACATAAAGTTATTCGGCTTAGGATGTTTACAAAATATAGAAATGGTCTAAAGGTGTTTCAAGATCAGAAAATCAACTTAAAGATTTTATTGATTACTTGGTTTTTCTTCAGAGAGGTTCAAAATAAGAATCAATACTATTTTCAAAAGAATTTGATGTCAGCTCCCATGAATTGAGACATGATATGGATGTTAATAACATATAGATAGAGAAGAATGTTGACAATATAAATTTTATTGGCCGAGGATTTATGACATTTTAAAATAGAAATAAAAAAACAAAAATGTAATATAGGACAATTTTAAGTTTTGAATGTTTCGTATTGGTGGCAGGAGATTGTAGAAAGAAGAAAATTTTTTAGGATTATTTTTTTTGCTTTTGTCTCATACGAAATTATACATTGTACATAAGGTTGGACCGGTACTGGTCGGACCGGCCCGGTAGGGGTGGACTCGGGCCGGTTCAGGCCTGGGCCCGGCCGGGCCTCGGTTCATGAAAGGGGAGGCCCGGAACCGGCCCGGGTAACCCCCGGGTCGGGCCGGGCCTCGTTTTAATTTTTTTTTTGGGTTTTTTCTAATTAACCCCTAACCCTCCCCCTCACCCCCAAACCACTTGAAATGGCCCAAAATACCCAGCCCAACCCAAAAACTTAAAAAAAAGAAAAAAAAAGAAAAATAAATAAATTGGCCCGGACCGGGCCCGAACCGGCCGGGCCGGTTCTTTTCGAACTGTTTTGGTGGTAGGCGGGCTGGGCTGAGTGTTTTGGCAGGGTTTGAGGGGTGGGGTGGGGGGTGGGGGGGGTTGGAATTAATTAGAAAAGCTAAAAAGAAAATAATTAAACCCAACCCGGTCCCGGTAGAATCCCGGGCCGGTTCCGGGCCTTAACCCACAATCAAAAAGCCCGGTACCGGTCCATCCCTAATTGTACATCCGTAAACAATTTCAAGGGTGTATTGGTCGATATTTGTCATATACTACATGTACATTTATCAAAGCGGTTTCTATGAAATGAAATGGTAAATGCATATTTAATTAAGTATATATTAATAATTGATAATTCAATTATTAGAAAACTCATCTTGTGCAATGTATGACTGAAAAATCTGATTACAATCTCACTTCCTCGATATGGGAGCAAAGACTACATGATAAGGAGAAGGATCACTTGGGATGTATTTGCTATGAAGAATGAAACCTTAGATGAGGTGAAGTTTCCCTCCTTTCCAAAATTCATATTCCATGTCCAAATATATAAAATATAATCATTCTAATGGTAATACATACACTAATACATAATATATCTGTGCAAAAGAAATTTAATCTAGTTTAGTAAAGCGTGTAAGGATATGAAAAAGGTTAGATCTTCTGGTACTATAGGAGTCGGTGTACTTTATAAAAGTGAATTTTAAATGTTTTTTGAGTATGCATAACTACCTTTTCTAAAAAATGAGAGCAGTTTTTTCGGAACAAATCGAAAAGGCTAAAGAGTCAAATAGGTACATGAACTAACTTAAATTGTTCAATTAGCCCCTTATATAAGAGGTTATGCCCGGCCATCGCCAATTGGGGCGGTTCCCGGTTGAATTTTTTGATGAAATTTTTTGAACAACTTCTTCATTAAGTCTAGTTTACCCATATCAAATTTCAGCTACAAATTAAATCGGGAAGACAGTCAAATGATTTTCCAAAATGTATTGTGCTGTTTAACTGCACAGTTATCTTCAAAAAATCATTTGACTGCCTTCCCGGTTGAATTTTTAGCTGAAATTTGGTATGGGTAAATTATACTTAATGAAGAAGATGCTCAAAAAATTTCATCAAAAAATTTCACCGGGAACCGCCTCAATTGGCGACGGCCGGGCAGAACCTCCTATATAAGGGGCTAGTTGAACACTTTAAGTTAGTTCATGTACCTATTTGACCCTTTAGCCAATCGAAAATGAATATGGGACAAGTATTTTGGAATAAAGGGAATAGTTTTTTTATTGTTTAGTTTTTTTATTTATAAAAAATCTTCTATATAACATTTATGTTTTGTAGTTTTGTTTTATTTGAATAACTTTTGGTTCTTATCAGTTTTTCTTATTTTTACATTTATTATTATAACTTCTTTTAACTTTTCTCATTTGTTAAAGACTAGTCAAAGTTTCACCCAAGGGAACTATAATAGCCTAGTTTGATCATATTTACTTGAGAGAATTCCTTAAATGCGATCAAAACATAATGCATTTTCCCCAATATTGTTTCTCAAAACTCGTTCATTTCTAAAATAGAGAATTTACCTACTTCTACTCTTTGATTTCATTCCTAAAATGAAATGTATTAGTTATAATCGTAATATAGTCTTTCACAACTATTATAGGCAATTTCGTACTTAGTTTCAGTTTAAAAAGTGTTCCTCACTAAGCATGAAAAACAAATACAAAAAATTAATCAAGTGTCTAGAAACAAACCAGTGCTATCATTGGTAAAAAAACAACTATGCAACTGGAGCAAAGGCCTTAAAAGCCAATCTTCAGGTTTAAGGTAAGTACATCATCAATGGTGAGAATTGCTTCTACAGGCTATTGAGTATTGAAAATTGTTAAGTAACGCCATCAGGGTCAACTTGTCTTAACATTTTTTTTCATAACATTAGAGCCAACCATTAGTTATGGAACAATAAGAAGCATAGTCAAGAACAAGCCCCATTTCACATCGTAGAATCATATAACTACCATCCCCATACTTCATGTTATTTCTCAAATGTCCTTCCAGAAGTATTTCACGTCGTAGAATCATACCACTACCATCTGCAGACTTCTTGCACTTCCTCCAATGTCCCTCCAAGAGAATGTTATAAGTAATGTATGTCATCAGGTAGCATGCAATAGCATCTCTGATTTTTCATCTGACCTTGCAAAAGCCATCAATGACCATAGTCCATAGTGTAAGTTTGACCATCAGGTTTTAAACCTACACTCAACATTTCTCTTAACATTCACTCTGCATCTACTACCTTCCATTTTCAGCACAGACCTCTGGTTAAGGAAGTATATGTTACATACTTACACTGTCGAGCATTATCCTGTTTTCGGTCATTTCTTTTTGGACCTCATACGCAGCGTCTATTAGGTTCCTGCTCTTCGAAAGCCCATGAAGTAGTGTGTTTCAAGTGATCAGATTTCAGATCAGGCCAAATGTGGTTTCTCAGCATACATTGATAGATATATCTATGGCCAAGTCTTTATGGTGCCCTTTAATCAACGTTGTGAACATCACCTGGTTAGGGAGTAAAGCTCTCGCAGACATTTTATGGAACAGTTCGCCTGCAGCAGCCATTAAACACTTCTTGCAATGGGCATTGATAAAAACACTGTCAAGTATAAACATCTGGAGCTACTCCAGTCTTCTCCATTACATTCCTTAACCTAAACCCTGCATCTAAATCACCTAATCTACAATATCCATTGATCAAAGTGTGGAAGCTAACAGCTGCAGGCAATATACCCCACTTCCTAATTTCATCGGAAACCAATTTAGCTTCCCTCATTTGGCCTTCCCTGCAGAATTTATGCTTCAACATGTTAAAACAATACACACTTGAAGGACACCCTGCTTCTAATAGCTTCTTATATAAACTCTAACCTAACAATGGAGCCGCTATCATCAAATGATCAATTGACCGAGAAGAAGATTGAAGCGGAATACACAATTTTTGCTTTTTGATAATCCTAAGACACTGGACAGCATCGGAAATCAACCCAGATACAGGACGATGAGGCAGAAGGAGGTTATCGAGGGAGGGATTTCTCTGATATGAATGTTTTGAGGAGGTTCTCGTACGTTTTTGTCTTCCAAATGGAACCGGCCCTCTCTTTATACCACACCGACACATTCCTTGTTTCAAAACACTGTATAGATCCCTATAGACTCACATCACCAAGATGTGGATTATGATTGTATTATGATTCTTGTGTGGTGTTTCCCTGATGTACTTCAAATTATATTAACAATAAAATAATTTGAACTATGCCAGGAAATTCCACATAAGATTCACAATGCTACCTATAATATTTATTTTTTTTCCAAAAAACAACTTTTTGGTTTTATTGGAGCACCTTTTTCTTATTTCATTTCATTGTTCTAAGTACTAGATTCTCACCCGTGCGATGCACGGGACAAATTTGATGTAACGATATCATATTCTTTATTATATCAAAAGCATGTTTGGTAACAATGAAATTGTCTGAATCGGTTGATTGTGCTAAAATTTATAAAGTTCTGATAGAAGTGGTTGCATTGGCTGATTCCGCTTATTTGTGAGAAAAAAAATTAAAATATTTTTTATTAAGAAAATAAATAAAACTTTATATGAAAATTTGATAAAATGATCATATACTGTAACTTCAGTCAACACAAACTGAAAAGTAACCTCAACCTTATAATTATCTAGGTTTGGTCTGAGCTGGTCTGGGATTGAAAACAATCCAAGTAAAACATCCTTACTGCACAATTCAGCGCGCGAAATCAAAAGTTACGTGTTAATAAGCATGCTAAGACGAAAAACAGAGTCATCAAATGAGTTCTAACAGTAACATCAGATTTTCATTCAATAATGTGTAAATGTGTGAATATAGAATATCAAACATTATATAATAAAGCTTATAATTACTAAGAGTTATTATGTTTTGAAAGAAGATAAATGTATGAAAATAGAAATAAGATATTAAGAGGCCGTTTGGAAATACTTTAATCTCTTAACTACACATTCACTCAAGTTTTTCTTTCATACTCATTAGATATATCAAGAGGCCGTTTGGAACCACTGTTTTTCGGCTTATCAGTCTTATCAGCCAACCTTTTCACCAAACACGTATCTTTTTTTTCGCGTGCTGAATTGTGTAATAAGCAGAAAAAGTAAGACTGGAGTTACTTTTCTGGCTGTTTTGCCTGAAGTTACTCTAGATAATAATTTTAGCTATTTTTACATATAATTTTTTCTTTATTTTATTAATAAAATATATTTTAAAAATATTTTTATCTTAAATCAGCAGAATCAGTCAATGCAGCCACTTCAGCCAGAACTTCATAAATTTTAGCAGAATCAGCCAAATCAGCCGATTTTCGTGCTACCAAACGGGCTCCAAGTCTCATAGTTTTCCCTCCCCCAACTTATCTCCCTTTATTTACTTTTGATTTATATGCTTACAAATCGTTTGCCTACAAATCGTGTCATTAGTCAATGTGGCCCTTTCAACGGGACGGAGAAAGTATTTGAAATGTGCATGCATGAAGAATCCAATACTATTCATAAATGCAAAGTTAAAAGCCCAAAACTATAGGTTTCCTTATGTCACGCCCCGGACCTCCCCGGACACGTCGACAACCCGCCGTACAATACGAATAGTCAACCGCAGTCCAACATTCATATTATACAAGGCGTCATGAATATCATTCACACATAAGTCATCCATAAGCAACATAATAAGTAATTCATAAAGCAGCGGAAAACATTGTTTAAAACGAAAGGGCCACACAGGGCTATTCATGAGCACGCAGGCTCTATAATAAAATATCCATGAGCAAATTTATTAATGTTTCAAATAGAATGGAGGAAGCACGAACCAAGTCTTCTCTCCGAGGAATCACTCGATCAACGAGCACAGGATGCAAGCTCTAGCCTCAACCTGAAATGGTGGTGGGACGCCCCCGAAGGGGTCAGTACTCTATACGGCTATAAAGTACTGGTGTGGCAGGCATCTAATAGATATACAACAAGTATTTCAAACACAAGACCCTCAAATAGGGTGATAGTACATTATGATTGTAACCCTAGGTTACCCCGTTTAAAAATATACTTACTTTATATAAAAGTCAAGTAGTCGGCCCGTGGGCCCGTTTTCATTTGGAAATCACCATTCCCAACCCCGTGGCTATAAGCCACGACAACTCCTAGAGTCCAACCCTAGTACATGACATTGTATTCTAGAGCTCGGCTCTACTACATCACCATACAATTCATATACCTCGGGTCAATTTCCTTACCTTGCGTTCTAGAGCTCGGCTCTATTACATCACCACGCAAGTCCTAGAGCTCGGCTCTAGCTATACAATACATAGACTCCAAGTCTACACCTTACATGCATTCTAGAGCTCGGCTCTATTACATCACCATGCATTAAGGTCCAATTCTCAAGCAACCCTATGCCTAGAATTGACATATCATTAAACTACTTTGGGTCATCCTTAAAGACTTCCCATAACTTAACCTTAGTTCCAAACTAAGTTATTATATACACTTGAACTATATTCAAGTACCTTTCATACAATCCAATCCCTAGGATCAATTTAATCAACAAGTTCCAATAATCACTAACTAGTATTTCAATACTATTAAGATTATTGTTATCATACCATTATCCTCATTATTTGTAATTCTCTACATATTTATAATTATGTAGCAACAACTTAAGTATTCAATCTCAATACACAAATATTCATTTATGTATCCACATAATTCATACATGAGCAAAATGCCCATCTTCACAAAATAGTTCATTTATACTCATTTAATCTCATATTATTCATACCTTCTCAAATCATTTCAAATTTCATTCCTTGGCAACTATATCAATATTTCATCAATATATAATCATCATAATCCATGAAAAATCATGATTTAAGCATTTAGGTAATCTCATGCTTAACCTACAAGTTGTAAGCAATTAGATGTCAATCCTCACTTTAATTGAGCTTTAAACTTTTCCTTCTTGATCCAATGGTCAAGGCTTTGGTCAAGGTTGATTTAGAACTGATTCCTTGCTTAGAAATGCGTGTTAAACAGCCTCCTCCAGCTGCCAGCTCCACTCCTAACCGAATGACACGAAAACAGTCCCTAGAACGGGTGTTTTCCGGTTAACTCGTTTCCTAGTTTTCCAAGATTTGCTCTAGGTTAGTACCTAACCTTTACATCAATAAAATAACTTCATAAGGACATATTATACACTTTTAGTAGTGTATAATAGTCCCACCAATCGTTCATATCATTTGGAAAATGAAAAGGAAGGTTTTGGATTCAAACTCACTTTGAATACAAAACTGTGTTCTGCGAGGTTGCGTTTTGTTCGGACAATCTGGAAGCCTTCCACTACTCCGATTGATGCAAACCAGACCTCCACGGATTCCTCGTCTTGAGAGCTTTCTTTTGGTACCTTATACGCCTTAATTGGACGAGTAAATCTCAAGTTATGGCTCGAACAGTAAGAGCTTCGCACTAAAGAAAGAACCTGCGGACTGCTCTCCTTCTTCCTTCCCTTTTGAGTTGTGTGGATACCTTTGCTCTCTTATCTCTTTTGGGGGGTCGAATGGGGGGTTGTGGGAGTATACAAGAGCTCTCAATCATGTTACCAAGGCATGTGGAGTGGTTCCCAATTGATCCCAATCATTTTGGGGTCCAAAATATCTACCAATACTTCCAAAAAAAAAATGGGAAGATGGGTCCTATTGTTTTATCTTTTGTCAAAAGATGTCTTTTTGTACTCATCCTAATTTATTTAGAACAAGTCAACTTCCTACATCACATTATTGGTCTCCAATATGTGTAGACTCATCTCAATAATTTACTTGATGGATATTATAGGAGGAAAATCCTACTCTCATTATTTAGCTCGATAATGCCAAAGATGGGGTTATAGGCATTTGTATTCCCCTTTAATCATTCTATCACTTATTTGGCATTTGTCATACATATTATTGGACTACTAGCCGTGTGGGTCACTCCCGAGTGGATCCAGGACGCCATTCTCGAATACTTGCTATTTTTAGCAGGTTGGGCCCAAAATGAGTATTCGCCAGCCCGATACTAATATACGAGTTCGAACAGTATAATAATCGGTCATTAATTACGTAAAACATTAATCGTTTAACAAATGTTTGGAAATCAGAAATCCAATACATAAACTTTGAATTTTAAATCGAATTTTCAAGGACCTTCGGGAGCGGTGTCACACCTTATGATCCAAAACTCAACCTCATTTTAGAACACGATTCACAACACTGAAATTGGTTAAATAGATTAATTCTGTTGAAATTTATAATTTTTTTATTCAAGTGAATAAATTGGTTAGATCAACTGAATGATGAAAAAATTATAATATCTTTTATTAGTAAAATAAAGATAAAATTAGATGTAAAATAAATTTTTAACTAATATTTGATGATTTGATTTTCTTCAACATTATATGTCAAAATATGTACGTAATTATAAATATACAGGTTTTTAAATAATGGAATTATTGGATGTAATATACATAAGCTATATAATTTATTAATATAAATGCAATAACTTTACTAATTTAATATAAAAAAGATTTCCGAAAAACGATGCTAATTGATGTTTTTGTTTTCAAATCAGGACCATTTTAAACCTTGTAAAACACAAACATTTTTATATCAACCTGATAAGCCCATTGCAATTCTGAAAAGCAAGCCCAACATATACACACTAATAAACATATTTGATAGAAACCCAAAACCCAATTACCCAAATTTGATACACCATATAGTGCCCATGGACTCCGTATCTAGTAAACATGCTTGCAATACCCTAGACCCTTTGGTAAACATATATAAACTCGTTAAGCCTCATCGCCGCCATTCACCCATACGTGACCTTCTTTCTGTACAGAGGGAGATCGGTTAAACCGATGCTCTATGCCTAACTCCGCCCACCACCAACCGTCTATCCTCCTAACTTCGTACAACATCCATACTTCCACTGAACTAACGGTTACTCCGATGCTCTCATCCTAACCTGGTTCACAGTTCTTTGTATGCACAAAGTAGAGTTGTCGGTAATGTTCCAAAGCTTCATCGTCGTACTTTCCAGGCTCCATCGAATCGGTTTTTCACCGATTACACAATGCCGATAGCCGCTCTCAGTCGTCGACCGCCATCCACTCCTTCATCGTGCAGCATCTCCGATTTCAGCAGGTCGGTGAAACAACCTTCGAATTACCCAACGAATCCGATCGGTTAACCCACCGTCGGTCTCCTAGGCACTCTCTGGACCAAATCAAGGATTCAAGGCAGTGGCTTTACCCAGGTATTCTTCTTTCCTATTTGAGCAAAATCACTCTTGTGATAATCATGTTATGATTATGATTTATGGATTATGAGATTTTTATTTTAAATTTATTTCATTAAATTTTTATTTCACTTTTGTAACCCTAAAACCGGCATGATATATACAGTGATTCATGAAATTATGAGGTTTTATTTTAGAAGAAAATTGAACCGATCAATTGGTTTTGAAAAAAAAAATCTTTCACACTCGTGCGTATATATCTTCTAATAGCTATTTAACATCATATTGTCCGCCTAGTAAATGGAAATATAAATCAATTATATATGCAAATCAATAGTCTGATAATATTTTTTACTATTTTTAGTTTCCGGTAATATATGCACCAGTTGTTCTTTACCAAGGTCAAAAAAATGTGCTCAATCTTATTAGGCGATTCTCTTAAGAAATAAAAATATTAATTACCATTTTTTCTTGCTTAAAGTATATCACTTTTGATATATTTTAATCTATTCGGAAACCAAAAGTCCAAAAGATTGATTTATCCTGATTTTTTGTATACTACCATAATGTTCTAAGAATTCAGTATGCTTAGCAAACACATTTACATAAATGTACATTTGGCATAAATCTGTTTACTTGATTTCTATCTAATATCATTTTTTTTATTTTCATTAAAGGTTTTGAAAATTGATTCAACACCTCTTGTGTAAAAATACCTACTTGTTTACAGATATAAAAATAAATATATTTATTAGATATAAAACACTTAATTTTCATGCTTATTAACTTATAAAACTGATTTCCCTCATTTAGGTGCTTCTAATAAAGAATATGATGCAGGGATATGCTATGGTTCCCTGTTTGGTTCTTATCAAGAATATAAAGATATGCACGTTCCTTTGCTCTTGACTTATGCAGTTCAAGATGTGTCCTTTCTACTGTTGCATGAATGCTCTCCATGCCAATTAGTGATGTTTATATAACATGATAAGTAATAAGAACGATATGGTGAACAGATATTTATGTTTGTACATAATATACCTTTCTTCATGGAAAACAACCTCTGGTGTCTCTCCATCTCTGCAATGCGAAACTCATTTCCGAACTTGCTATTTTCACTCAAAATTTAAGATGGTTTTATACTAAAATTTGTAGTGTTTGACCCAAAGGTTAATAACATTAACTAACTTGTAGCACACAATATTAACTTTGAAAGGACAGCACAGTACTGATGTATACTTGCCATATAAAAGTTTTGAATCAATCGAGAAAAAGCTCCTTTCAAAGGACAGCACGCTGGTACTTTATACTCCAAAAGATTTCATAATTTTGAATCAACCGAGAAAGACAGTTGTGTACTTTATTAGTTATATACTACTACGTAATACCCAATGGTTATTAGCTGGCTATTGTACAGAACATTAAATGCAGCCTACATTATTGTACTTCTTTTATTGAGCCACTAAATTAATTTTTTGAGCCACACAAACTGATGCATTGGATATTGGGCTTCTGTTGAAATTTATTGAGTTGATCAGAGAACTTGCTGCACACCCGTTTCTGAACCCATATGCACTTGACCCGACCCATTCCTGTACAGTGTTTGGGCGGGAACACTGTACAGTTTTCATCTTGCTTTTGTATAATAGAAGATTATTCACTTTTATTTAATAAATTTAAATTATACTATCCTCCGTTTCTTTTTAATCGCAACATGTTGAATTTTACACTATTCACATGTTCTACTTTGACTACATTTTATATTATTATTTTATGAAAATTATTTTTTTAAAATTATATTGTTCAATTCATCTCATTACAAATTTTCAAAATCTAAGTTTTAAATATTTTTTACTAATAGGGATTAAGATATAATTACGGTCAAAGATGTGTGTTGGCAAGTGTGAAATGTTGACCGTTGCAACTAAAAAAGAATGGAGGAAGTATTAACAATAAAATAGTTTGAACTATGCCGGGAAACTCCACATAGGATTTCAGATTGCTATCTACGTAGTATAATTTATTTTGTTTCCAAACAACATTTTTTAATTTTATTGGAGCACCTTTTTCTTATTTCATTTCATTGTTCTAAGTATTTTTCACTTTTATCTAATAAATTTGATGGAGTCTGTAATATAAATACAACTTATCTCTTTTTTTAATATCGGTAGGCGCACCATCCATCGGTGGAGTAAATGCCAAGAAACATTTACCGTATTTTATTAAAAACAAGAAAAGGTACAAAAGGTGAGGGTGGCTAGACTAATATTCCACCAGAGAAGGCATACCTTCTCAAAATACAAAAAATACTAAGAAAGTAAAAGAAAAAGTTTGAGGGGACTCTACCTTACCCAAACAATAGTACAGACTTATGAGAAGAACTTAGTGAATACAAGGAATATCAAGAGTGTCCAATTCAATGAGACTTGAAATGGAGTTGGAAAGAATGAGCTTGTTTTTTTGGAAGAACGAGTTTGTTGTTAAAAAATTTAAGTTGACTCGGATGTATGCTATCTTGGGCTAAAACATGAGCTGTTGAATTGATTTTCCTATAGATATGCCTTAACCGACACACGCCCAATTCCTCACAGATATTCCAAACCTGATCAATCGTATGTAGCAGAGGAAAGACAGTCTATGAACACCTTTCAAAGCTTTGATTACCATCTTAGAATCACTTTCAAGCTGGAAGTCCTAAATGCCTTGATCACCATTTTAGAGCAATGTAAACCGCTTGAAGCTCGGCTTGTACAACCGTGCTTGCTTTAATTGGAAAGGATATAACACCAACAAGTTCCCTCTATCATCTCTAAGGATGGCCCCACCTATGCTTTTCCCATCTTTGAAAGCATCATCAATGTTCAGTCTAGCATAATAAGCATGAGTTTTAATTTCTTCAATATGAGTTTTAATCATCGTTAAAGATTAGGAATTTGGCTTCTTTATGACTAAAACACCACCGGCGAAGACAGTATTCCCTGGAGCACCTTTTTCTTATTACACATTTTCGCTTTTATTAATTATATACTACCCTCGTCCCACTAATATTGGAACGAAATGGGTGACCCGGTTATTAAGAAAATTGTGTTTATGTGATTTATATAGTTTGATAAAGTAAGAATAAATTAAGAATGATTTAGAGTCACACAAACTTTATCAAATTCAGGAGAGAATTCTAGTCAGATTTCGCGAAAAGGTAAAATAAGACAATATTAACGGGAGGGAAGAAGCATATCATATCTGCTACACTACCAATTTTTTTTTATCAAGGATGCCTTGTAACTACGCATTTCATTAGTATAATAGATTAATAGATTATTAGTATAATAGATCATTATTTCGTATTCTGTTTGTATTTGAATTGATCAATCATAACATTCTAATTTCTAATTGTTCCAAGCGTATAAGATGTATTAAGAGTTTATTTCATCACTTGTTTATGTTTATACCAAAGAGTATTATATATTAGGAGTTGTTTAATTTTTCATTGCGATAATTTGATACCTTTTAAAGTGTTCTTTTATGCATCTAGTCATATATTTTTCAGTCTATTTGGAATTAACTATTTTATACTTTTCAATATTTTTTCTCCTATCATCAGACCCTTCTACTCAGCTTGATTATTAAATAGTGTACAATAATGGACTCCTATATATGTTACCATCGTGAAAACTATAAATGTACTTTAATTTCTATTTGTGTTTTGAAATATATGTTTTTATTAATTATTAGTATAGTACTCATGCATATGCACGAGTGAGATAAGTTGGCACATATATTATCAATTACGGAATAATTTTTATTTATTTCAAAATAAATGAAGTCTAGTTTTTTTTTTAATATATTATTGTAGAAGTGAGCAAGCATTACAACTTTGCGTTATTTTATTAGATGAGTTTAGTTAAAGGTCTTAAATTAGTTTTAAAAACAATCCGCTAATATTACTCCTGAAAAAATGGTGGATAAAAATGTGACTAGTAACTATTAGTTACTATATGTAATTGTGTTCAAAGTTAAATCACAGTAAGTCAGTAACTGCATGTAAATCACTACTGTGTAAACTTTGAACATAATTAGTCACTAATAGTTACTAAATCACATTTTTATCCATGACTTTTTTATCAGTAAAATTTTAGTGAAAATCCCGATTAGTTCTGAGTGGATCGTAAAAGGAATAAGTCTTTTTAATGGAAACGTAAGTTGTATATGGTCTTGTCCGATTTGGTCTGCTTAAATATGGACTGATCTTAATTAATTCGTTAAATGTAGGGTTGTAAACGAATAAAATACTTGACAATATTATTCGTATTCGTATAATTATCAAATATTCGTTTTCCATACTAAACAAAATATATCTACTAGTCACTTGTTTTAATTTAACATCAATATAAATAAATCAACGGAGAATTATAACTTTAAAATAAGCCATTTTGACTTGATAAAGTAAGAACATTTAAATTAAAATATGAAAAATACCTACTAGTTTTTGTACACAAATATTATGTTATCAATATTTTTACATTGAATTGTACCTATTTATAATGAATAGTATATATATACCGATATAATTTGAATATATTCGAATATTGTTCGAATCGAATATCATAGTATTTGTATTCGTATTCGAAAAGTATTCGAATAAAAAAACAGATTCGTATTCTACTTACTCGAATTTGAATCGACGTTTTCAAATTCAAATCACGAATCAAATAAAAAATATTTGATTCATTTACAACCACAGTTAAAGTTTGTCCTATTTGGTCCACTTAAATATGGCCGATTTGGTACTTGATTTCTTATTTTTTTCATTGTTAGTCCTTGACTATTGTGTTAGAGACACTTTTAGTCATCGATTTCAAGGTTTTCCACATTTCGTTCCCTGAGTATTATCACATGACACTTTTAGTCCTCCCATTATGATTTTGACACAATAAGTGGAGGACTTAAAATGTCACTATTATAATATTTGAAGGACCAAAAGTGTCACTTTTATGAAAGTAGAATGACTAAATTTGGAAATTTTCAAAGACATGTACCAAAAATGTCTCTAGCGCCATATTTGAGGACTAAAAATGAAAAAAATTAAAAACGAGTATCAAAAGTGTCAATGTCATAATAGCCGGAGTACGAAAAGAGGCAGAAACTCATTTAACAACTTTTGAAGTCCGGTCTAGTCTTTCTGCTTAAGATCATCTTTGGTAACATTGAAATTGGGTGAATCCACTCATTCTGTTGAAATTTATGAAGTTCTAATTGGATGGTTGGATTGGCCGATTCATCTAATTTATGAAAAATTATATTTAAAATATTTTTATTGATAAATAAAGAAAATATTATATGAAAATTAATAAAATTGAATTGCTAGAATTGAATTGCTCATAACTTACTTAACATTATGTTTTATGATGGTATATATTGTGTAATTTTGTAAAATAAAAAAAGACAATAGAAATTATATGCTTTAATTTTATTATATATGTACACTACTAGAAAAATGGTCTATAGTGACACTAAATAAGTGTCACACAAAGTTTTACTGAAACTAAAAAAGTGTCATAGATGGTCGGGAATTATGACACTAAATTTTGTGTCACTGGTAAAGTGTCACTAATTCCTGACACTAATGTATCACAAAAATTTATGATAAAATAAGAGTATCACTTTACATTTTGACACATTAGCATCAATTAAATTTATGATACATTGGTATCATAAATGTTTACACAAGATTATTACTTGAAAAATAAAAATGAAAAGGACTTTTCCCAAACACAGAATGGTTCTCGTATCCACTCGCGTACGTTTTTGGCTCTCTCAATATACCACACCGACACATTCGTTGTCTCAAAACACTATATAGCTCCCCTCTAGACTCACATCCCCAAGATTATTAGGATAACTCAAAGGTGTATTGAGATTTTTATGTTGGAGTTTGGCTATGCACTTGATGTTGTTTTACAAATAAAATAATCTTAAATGCCTAGCGAAACTCCAACATAGAATTCAAAATACTTTCTATTACTTATTCTTTTTTTATTTTATTCGATCACATTTTTCTTATTTCATTGTTCTTAATAGGGGTAGACTCGGGTCGGGCCACCCGGATCGGTCCGGTACTGTTTGGGCCCGGCCTGGTACCCGGTCTTGGGGACGGTTCAGGCTAGGGGTGGGGGAAAATACCGAAAATTCGGTATACCAGACTTATCATATCGAAAAATACCGAATTTACCGAATGTTTGGTATACCGACACTTTTGGTACGGTATGATACCGTACCGAATTACTTCGGTATGATATCGGTATATATTTTGGAAATAAACGGTATACCGTCCTACCGTAATTCCAAGTCAATAATTTCCTTAAAATTGTAAAAATAACTAGAAACACAACACTAATTCAAGGATAAATGACTTTATATCCATGTTTCTTGAATTATTTATACTTTTTGTTGGAGATCGGTGTTATTTTAATTATATTTATGTTGTTTAAATTATTTTAGCAGAATGTGTTGGTATCTTCATATATCATGTGTTGAAATATCTATACATATTTATAATATTTTTTGTCAAAAGTTGATAAGAACACAAATAGGTTATCTCATTGGTATTTTATAATTAATTTCATTAATGATTTTAGTATATCACTATTAACACTGATTTTCTTTATTTCATTTGACATATAATAATTTTTTATATTAAATCATGGTAATTTACTGATACCGCACCTTACCGTACCGAAATTTAGGTATACCGAAATTTCGGTATGGTAACGGTATGTATTTTTGCATACCGAAAGTTTACGGTATGCTAAAGGTATACGATAAAATATTTGGTATACCGTACCGAACCACCTCTAGTTCGGGCCAATCGGAATCGGTCTAATCCCGATGCGGGCTCGAGCCCCATAAAATGCGAACCGGCCCGGCAGGTCCGGGCGCGGTTCGGGCCAATATTTTTTCAATTTTTTTTAACTTTCTACCGGGTTTGGGTGGGGGGGTGAAGGGGGGGGGGTCGGGGGTTATTTAGAAAATCAAAAGAAATTATATAAAAAAAATTGAACCGGAAACCGGCCCGGCCCGGAACCGGCCCGGGTAGCCGCCGGCTACCCGGGCCGGTTCCGGTTCCCTACTTCCCAAACAAAAGCCCGGCCGGGCCCAGGCCCGAACCGGAACCGGCCCGGGTCCACCCCTAGTTCTTAATACTTTTCACTTTCATCTAACAAATTAGACGGAGTCTCTAATCTCTAATATAAATACAACTCATCTCTATATGTGTCTGGTATATACAAGAAAAGTGACATTTCTTGACACACACAAAATATCAAGAAAAATAGAAAAAGTGTCAAGATAAACCGCTCTGGACTTTACCGACACACATAAAAAGTGTCACCACGAACGGTGTTAGGAAAAACCTTTCTTGACACACACAGACATGTGTTGGCAAATCTCTTTGAACTTTTGTTAACACATAAATGTGTCAAGAAATTGAGTAATCATCAAACAACTTTTGTGTGTCATGAAAGATCAAAGATGACACATAATTGTCAAGAAAAATCATGCTGATTTTATTTTTAAGCATAATACGTTCATTTTAATTAATGATTTTATTAAATGCTTACATTAGTAGTTTTAATTAACTACTGCTTTCATAGTGAGACTTGCATCTCACTTAAAAATATTTGAAAACCTTCATTGAAGCAAAGTTTATAAAGCAAGAAGATTTAACAGAACTTACACCATAAAAGTAAAGTTACTTCCAAGGAACTAGATACGGCCTTTTTGTATTCAAACATACATCATACTATCATAGTAGCGAAGTCCACAAAAAACTTAAACTTCGAGACATTCAAATTAAAATAACTAGAAATCAACTATATGTCTGATCTCTAAATAGCTTTTTAAGGCTGATAATTTCCCGTCGATGATCTTTCATTTGTAGGTCGAGGTTCACCAACAACCTGGTAAATAACACAGTTTAATTAATCGGGGTAGAAGTTAATAAACAAGCTTCTGGTACAAATAAACATGATCATAAATATGTAGTAATACTTTTCCATATAACAGTGTTTAGGTTTTTGGTATAATTAATTAAAAACTCAAAACTGCATATTAGAAACAACTAACCAAATAAAATACTAGACAGAGCTAGCAATCAAAGAAAATATATTACAAATTAGTCACAGAGCCACAAATAATGCAGATTTTCTAAGCTTTATTGAGAAATTAAGAGCCCGTTTGGTAGCACGAAAATCGGCTGTTTTGGCTGCTTCTGCTGAAATTTCTGAAGTTCTGGCTGAAGTGGCTGCATTGGCTGATTCTGCTGATTTAAGAAACAATTATTTTTAAAATATATTTTATTAATAAAATAAAGAGAAAATTATATGTAAAAATAGCTAAAATGGTCATCTACAGTAACTTCAGCCAAAACAGCCAGAAAAGTAACTCCAACCTTACTTTTTCTGCTTATTACACAACTCAGCGCGCGAAAGTAAAAATTACTTGTTTGGTGAAAAAGTTGGCTGATAAGCTTGATAAGCCAAAAAACAGTGCTGCCAAACGGCCTCTAAGACTAACAAACTCTCTACTCGACTACCCCATACCCTTTTATATTCTTTCTTACATAATAAAATTGAGATTGATTTGCCTTCTATAACATCTTATTTAAAATCAACGGCTCCAGTTAAACCAACCAAAGATAAAACATAACCACGATGTCCAATCTATCAATATGTCACACACTAAACTAGTCTCTTATCATATCACACATAACTGCACAAGAAGAAATAAAACATAACCATTATGTCCATTCTGTCAATTTTTAATATTATATGAAAATTCTTATAGAACTCTAGAACCAAAAAATATCAATCCCAAATATGAACTTGGGATAAATGCTACTTAAAAGGGTTTTAAACTTTTAAAAAATAGATACGAACAAACAGTCCACACAAGGGAAAATGAGAAATTAAAAGATCAAAGTATGGTACCACAATTGTAGTTGCTACAGAATTGACGATAGTTCCATCTTTTCGAATTCGAGTTTTGGTGAATTATTTCTCGTGTGTTGGAAGGACACCATTATTTCTCATAGCCTGCAATGATTAAATTTCATTTTGATTTAATTATAAATTACCCTTAGTGTACATAATAAAGAACTGGTTCTTGAACCAACAAAATGACGAGTTTGAATAATATATTTACATATTAGAGAACTGTAATAATTAAACACCCAAAATTATTTTAAAAATTTGGCTATAATCAGCAAGACTAGCTGATTCTTTGACCAAACTCTCTTTCACTTTTCGAGGATTTACACTTTGATCCCATATTTGCAATTATTCATTTCTTCCGGAGTTTCAGCCGGAATGAATTTGAATTTTTCCTACAAATATCAGCACAAGTTTATAATTAAGTAAACATAAATACTACGCATGAAGAAAATCTTGCTAGATACCTTCCCGATGCTCCATAAAGTGTCCTTAGTTGTACGTGCAATATCCCTCCAATCATCAAAATCTATGCCACATGACTTGGCATTTTCACAAGGATGCGCAAGAACTGTGTCAATTCTTTTCCTTGTTCTCCTATTGTTTGCACCATCTCATTAAAAGTAACTCCTATTCTAGAGTTGCTTTTTAGCTCCCAAATGTCAAGCTTTTTCGTCAGACCTCAAACCTTTCTTGAAACGCCCTTTATAGGCTATAAATGCCAAAGTGTGGGTTAATAGTATACTCTGCTTCAAAGAAATTAAAATATACGATAGTACTAATCACCTGAAGGTTGTGAAATGCTTTTATTGGTTGAAATAGATGGTTGAGGATCTTCAGATATTACCTTACACGTAGCAGATTGCTCTCCAAGATTTCATTGTTGCCCCTGGTCTTTACTTGACTCTGACTCTTCAGTTCTATCGGATTGTGGCACTGTTGGGGAGTTATTGGTTGAGACAATGTTCAATCTCTTGTGCTTTGTCATTGTTACTTCAACACAATAATTATGCCTCTATTGTTGATAATAATTTACAACTATCATAGCTAAATGTAATCTCAAACTAAATGATAAATGAAGAACCAAGAAAAAAGTTATGCAATGTATGTTAAGCTAACCTTAATGTGAGGAATGGATGAAGGTTCTTCAACCCAAACCTACATAACAGAATATTATAAATAGGTAGAATATATGGGTTTAATAAACACACATTGTGCTAAAGAGTTATTCAATTGCAAAACCTCCAAACATAATCTATGGATATAATAAACACACCATATGCGAAATGATTATTTAAGTAGGAGAACATACACACAAGCTCATGAGCAAATAACTCAAAGAGATTATGAATTAGATAATTGTTAAAGCACTAGCAGTAAACATCTAGTACAGAACATAAACTTAATTGATAAAAACTATATCTATTTAAGTGACAGCAATGCTAGCTTCATCATCTTCATTGTCTTCATCATTCATAACTTCTTTTTCCATCATTGACGTATGTATATATTATGACCACCACTATTTCTCATTTGAAACATATCCCTAACTTTGACATGCCTACTAACCAACCAATCCTTACACTTGGAGTCTCTAGCATAGAAATTAGAAAACCTCCTGAACTTGCAAAGCTAGAATCCTAGAACAAAGGGGTCATCTAGCAAATTTGAAAAAATCAAAAGTAAATATATAACATAATTTATAACTATCTAGTGTTAATAGTGGATGGTAGCATACTAGCTAAGTTCAGCAGAGTATATAAATCAATTGTTTCTAATATTGATAGATCAAGCTCACTAATTTTGTTCAGCAGAGTATATAGAAATTGATTGTTTCTAATATTGATGAATCAAGCTCACTAATTTTGTTCATTAGGTTTATAAAACTAAGAATTGTGTATATAAAATCAATTGTTTCTAATATTGATGGATCAAGCTTACTAATTTTGTTCATTAGGTTTATAAAACTAAGAATTGTGGCATAACAGAAATTTATGGTAACTCATGATCTCCATTATAGATTTTAAATATAAACACACTAGGATAGGAATCCTTTAAAAGTAGAAAGCCCTTTTCAGTATGCTAAATCGATATAAGCTAAATCGATATAAGGAGGTTTGAATTATAATTCCAGCCGATATAGATCAAATAAAAAATTAAAATTAAGCAAATGAACAAATCACTCCAACATTTACAAAAAAACACTCCAGCGGACATTAGATCTAATACAAATTATCTAATCCATAAAAATCAAAAGCAATACCAATTTAAATGTAGGAAAAATTGATAGTAATAATCCCAACTATTGATGGTCCGCCCATAATAATCCCAACTATCGATTATGGCCTTTTTTATCAATATTACTAAAATGAATAGAAAAGACAAACGTATGATCTGTTTTAAATTTTACCAAATATGTGACTAACAGTCATTTTATTCATTGTATAAAATACCAAGTATATTTCTTTTATGCATTTGATTAGGAGTTCATGTTCAATAGCCACCTGCACCTCCTAGCTGCTGACCCAGCACCGCGCCACTGCCGCTCCACCGCCGCGCCACCGCCGCAGCCACCGTCGCAGCCGCAACCAGTCACTAATTTAGTGACTTCCGGTCACTGACCAGTGACTTCTACCTAACTGCGGACACTTGCCAGTGACTGCCGCCCAACTCCGGTCATAATCCAGTGACTTCCACCCAACTCCGGTCACTGACTCAGTGACTCCCACCCAACTCAGGTCACTGACTCCGTGACTTCCACCCAAATCTGGACACCGCCGACGGGCACACCGCCGGAGACCTCCGCCACCAAAACCCCCAACTCTGCCACGTCAGCCCCTACTCCTGTCTCACAGGCCACCCGTTGGCCACCCTAACCCACAGATCTGCCCCGCCAGTCCATTCAGATCCAAACTCCACCCTCGCACCTAAGCCCCAACTTCCGATCCAAGCCGACAACCGCATCACCGGCTATAAAAGCAGCCGCCAGCTCATCGTAACCTAAGCCCCAACTTCCGATCCAAGCTTTAATGACAGCCCAAAATCACAGATCTGTTCAATTCCGTCGCTCGCCTGGCCATCGTCACCAAGCCGGCGCTCGTTTGGCCATCGTAACCTAACCGTCTCTCACGGAACAAGGCAGCGCAGCCATTGATGACGATGTCTGATATTTGAGAAGCATCGGCGAAGAAGAATAAGAAGAAGAGTTGTTGTGGATCGGAAGGGCGGCGGCGGCAGCTGGAGTGCGGTGGAGCGGTGGGGAGTCATCGGCTGGATGCGGTGGAGTGGCAGGGCGTCAGCGGCTGGAGTGCCATAGAGCGTCGCCGGCTGGAGTGCAGTGGAGCATCTCCGGCTAATGTGCAGTGGAGCGCCGACTGGAGTGCACTGGAGCGCCGGCGGTTGGCCTTGGATGGAAGAGACGAAGCTCAAGTCTAAATAGGATTCAGATTTTTGGAAAAGTTAAAATGGGTCATAGTTTTGGTAATGTAAAGCCGAATAGTAATTTCCATGCCATTTTTTCATCGATTATTTCAGAATAATCCCAACTTTAGGGACCTTCCGCCAATAATGGTCCCTATAAATAAATTTTCGTAGTTTCTAAGGTGGATGAGAAAAGATATAACAAGTAATCCCTATAAATAATCCCAATTTTTAATTTTACGCCTAATTTCTATTTAAAATTCACTTTTTATAGGAGGTAATATCTGTTCATGGACCATTATTGGCGGATGGTCCATATAGTTGGGATTATACAAAAATAATCAATAGTTGGGATTATTATCAGCGGACCAGCAATAGTTGGGATTATTATTTTCAATTTTTCCTTTAATGTATATCGAGAAGCAGGATTACTGGACGAGTTATGGAGATATGATTGAGGTGCCTCGAGGATTCACTTAAGTTCAAATTGGGGAAGGCGAAATCTTGATGTTCTGCTAAAAGAGAAGACAGATGATTCTAAACGATCTACCACAAGGTATTTCATTTGTTTGCTTGTATTAATTATATATATCATGTGTGTTACACTACACAAATTTTATTGAGGATGTCTTGTATGTACTCATTTCTTTAGTGCAAGTCATTATTTCATAATTTGTTTCTATTTGAATTAATCAATCGTAATATTCTAATTTTTCCACGCGTATAAGATGTGTCAAGAGTCTATTTCATCTTTTGTTTATGTTTATACAAAAGAGTATGCAATATTAGGAGTTGTTTAATTTTCCATATCATTGTGATAATTTGATACTTTTTCAAGTGTGCTTTTATGTCTGAGGTCATATATTTTTGGGAAAAATAATTTAATACACCAAAATTTTGAAAGGTGTGATATAAATAGCCCAAACTTGCACATGTAATATATATCCCAAACTTTATATAAAAAGTAATGTTAGCACCATGATTATACACTTTTTCACAAATGTAATTTTTTTTATAGTAAGTAATATTACCGAATGATTATAGCACCATGATTATACACTTTTACCGAATATAATATTATTTATTTCACTAATGAAATTTTAGAATGTTAATTGTATTTTAACAAAGCTTAGAGTATTTTAAATTATGTAATTACTCTAACAAATTTGTATTTGTAAACAAACATACAATCATGGTGTGAAAATATCTTTTTATATAAAACTCGGGGTATATATTACATACGGAGTATGTAAGTTTGGGGTGTTTATCTCACACCCCATTAAAATTTGGGGTATTTAAATTATTTTCCCATATATTTTTCAATTTAAACTTAAGAATGATTATACTTAGAATTAACTATTTTATATTTTTAAAGAAATTTTCTCCTATCATCAGATTGTTCAACTGAGCTTGATTATTAAATAAACTGTATAATAATGGACTTTTATCATTCCTATGTTACTATCGTGAAAACTATATTATAAATGCACTTTCTATTTGTGCATTTTGAAATATATCACTATATATGTTTCTATTAGTACGTATGCATGCGTGACATTAGTTAGCATAAGTATATATTTTTAATTAGTTTTTCTTTATTTCAAAATAAATGAAGTCACGTCTTTTTTATTATATTATTATATTATTGTGGAAGTGAGCTACATGGAAAAGAATTTGTATGGTGAATGACCAGTGTTCAGATCTTTGTACAGTTGAGCCTTCTGGATGTATCACCTGGAATGAAGAAAATGATGGTGAGTTCACTCTCAAGTCTGCATATGAAGAAGTCAGGGACTTGGGATTTAATTCCTATACTTATCAACAGATTTGGGATACCAAGTTAGAGCTTAAAACTAAGATTCTTATGTGGAAAATTGCTAAAGGTATTATTCCTACCCCGGATAATCTTAGCAGATTTCATTTGGTGCTTAATCCTTCTAGATGTCCTATATGTAATAAGCAAGAAGACTCTATGAGGCATCTGTTTTATCAGTGTGAGGTGGTGAGAAAGGTATGGAGTTATTTTTTTAGCATTTTTGGAATCTATCAGACCCCTGGAATTGACTATAGCATGTCTTGCTACTGGAAGGCCGGGACTGCAAAAAATAGCATGGTTGATTTCTTTAAACAAAATTTGCCTGGAATCATCTGCTGGATAGTTTGGAAGAATTATGCTCATCGGGTTTGGGGAAATCAAGGGGGGTCTTCTACTACATCCAATATTATTCTTCAAGTCAAATTGTATTCGCAGAACTGGATTACTAGCTTTAAAAATCTGAAGTTTTGGATGGTAGAGGATTTTTTGACACAAGAAGGACTTTTGCCAAGAAATTTCAAGCAGGATAGAATTTTTCCTCAAATTATTAAATGGCATAAGCCGATTGAGAAGTTTAAACTGAATGTTGATGCTAGTTACCTAGTAGCTCAAGCCGCAGGAGGTGCGATGCTGCGAGATAGATCTGGCAAGCTTGTGGTAGCGATCGGTTTTCCGGTGAAAGCGGCGTCGGTCCTGGAGGCTGAGCTCAGAGCTGTTTTGTTTGCAACGAAATGGATGATGGATGAAGGTTTTGAAGGGTTTCAGGTGGAAACCGACTCTCAGTTGGCTTTGGAGTATATCGCAGGTAAGAAGGGGAGAAGATGGGCGGACGAAATCAGGGAAGTATGTTCGAGGAGTTTTAGGAAACAGATCAGTTTTGGGCATACTAGGAGAGAAAGCAATTGGGCCGCTCACCATCTGGCCCAATTGCGGGTTGATAGAATGATCATTTATTCGAGCACGGGTCAACTTCCCACTTTTGTGAAACGGGCTTTTTGGATGGATTATTTTGGCATTCCTTCAGTTAGAATATGATTTTAGGTGCCTATGTTTTTATTTGTTCGGGTTCGGTTTGGCCCCCCCATCTTTTTTGTACTTCTATTATTTTCTATAATAAATTCTGGTAAATGTCCCCCGGCATTTACCCCACTGATTTTGGTGGTTGGCCTTCCGGGGTAAAAAAAAAAAAATTGTAGAAGTGAGCAAGCATTACAACTTTGAGCTATTTTATTAGACGATTTTAATTAAAGGTCTTGAATGAGTTTAAGACCTTTATCATCCAATACTTCTTGAATTTGTTGAGTTTGGTCCTCGAAGTTGTATAAAAGGCGTCAAATAAGTCCTTATATAGAAGATTGTGTCCGGACGTGCCATTTGAGGCAGTTCCCAGTGGAATTTTTTGATAAATTTTTTTGATGATCTTATTCATTAAGTCTCGTTTACTCATACCAAATTTCAGCTAAAAATTCAATCGGGAAGACATTCAAATGAATTTTTGAAGATAACTGCGAGAAAGAAACAAAAGACCAAGGCTTTACCTAATATTGGCATGTTCTGCACACATGATTGTATAGAACTTATGTAATTACCTAACATTTATGTGTGTTTGGTTGGGGACTTTTATTTTCATATTTGAAGTATGCGCAGGTTTACTCATTTTTGCATTAAAAATTGGATGCTTACGTTTAGGTTTGGAATGAAGAACTCTATTGGTTTAGCTGAATAAAAAATTGAAGTTGAAATTGATGCTTAATCATCAAATTGGTTATGCTATTACGGAAACTCAAAATTTGAGCCATGCTTTTAACAACGAGTGAAGACTAGATTTTTTAATTGATAGTTCTTGGTCATTCGATTTAAAACAGGATCTTGATAATAGCTGGTGGATACCAAAATATTGGATTTTGAACACCATGAGTTTTGAATTGGGCTATTAAAAATTAAAATTGCATTAGAATTGGATTCTGAAAACCTGTTCTTAGTCTTTGCATGGTGCTCTACACTCTGGAGTTTTAAAATCTCAAGGACGTCAATGAGGGGAGCTTTCTGAAGAGCAATCTTGTACTGCCTAAATTGGAAAGCACATCTATCTTTCACATTGGCACTTTGTCTTCTTGTTGTTGACTTCTTGTCATTTTGTCACCTAAGATGAGTTTATGTTGATTTTATTGAGTAATTTGAATTTAAAATGTTTTCCTTTGCATAGGTTAGTGAGCTTGAAAACCAAATCGATAGCATTGGAGGTGAACTAAAAGGACTCGGTTTTAAAAAGGGGAAATAAAAGCCCCTGAAATTGGTAAAAGGAAACATCTTAAAATTGAAGAGATAATGTACCATATCTTTACGCTAATATTCGATGAAAGACCTGTTTTGCAGACTCATTTGGATTTTGGAGACATCAATTACTCGGCATGGCACATATAATGAATCTTACAATGATGTCAAAAATTTTCTGGACGACTCTGTGGAATGCAATCAAGTTGCACTTGTTTATTAAGATTAGGGAAAACTGTCAAATAGGTCCTCGAACTTTCATAAAAAAGTCAATTAAGTCCTTCTATAGGAGACTCTGTCCGGCCGTCGCGATTTGGAGCAGTTCCCGGTGGAATTTTTTGATGAAATTTTTTGAGCATCTTATTCATCAAGTCTAGTTTACTCATTCCAAATTTCAGCTAAAAATTCAATTGGGAACGTATTCAAATTAATTCGAGAACGTCAAAATGCACAGTTATCTTCACGAATTAATTTGAATGTGTTCCCAATTTAATTTTTAGCTGACATTTGGTATGAGTAAACTAGACCTGATGAATAAGATGCTCAAAAAATTTCATCAAAAAATTCCACTAGGAACCGCCCCAAATCGCGACGGCCGGACAGAACCTCCTATAGAAGGACTTAATTGACCTTTTTATGAAAGTTCAAGGACCTATTTGACAGTTTTCCCTTAAGATTATTGTCTTTAAGAAGTATTCCCACAAATTCTTCTCTAATTTTTCTTTTCTATTTCTCTTTGTAACCAAACAATTAATAGGTGAAAGCAAGAATAGTCTAAAAACTGTACACATTGAACAAAGATAATGTAAAATATAAAATTATGAAACAGCCATAAAAATGAACCAAACTAGAGCTCTCAAAGGAAAAATGAGAGAGTTTCGCCTTCAACAAAACTCTACAGCAAAAACCCTGAATAGAAAACAATAAGTGAATAATACATCAAAACTCTCCAGAGACACACTAAAAATATGAGAACATGTCCCTCCTCACCTCTTATATTAATAGATTGTGTATAATTGTACAGATCTAACCAAACAGAAGTTTTAAAGCAAGTTTATTACTCTCTGGTATTGAAGTATACACACAATGAGATAAAAATTACATTTAAATAAAAACAATACATGGGGAAAGAAAAATTAAGAGTCAAATGCAAGAATCTTGATGCAGTAGATATAACTTCAATATTACTTGTTAAAAAGAAAGAAAGTCAATACTATAGGGGACATTTTCTTTAGGACTTGAGTGTGAAGGAAAGACGACCAACCACTATGTATTTGAGGCTCCTGTTGTGTAGCATCCTATTGTCCTAAGCCAAAGTTTAAATGTTGTTATTTGTTTTGATAAACTGAAGCATTTTTAATCATGCCACACACATCTAATGAGCTCAATATTACAAAGGCATAGAAATGTTATTTGATCAAGGAGCTGCACATATAAAAACAGTTATGAGCTATGTATTCCAATCATTAAAAAGATATTCAAATATAATCCTATCCTTTCATCAAACATAACATGCATTAAAAAAACTATACAAATATAATCCTATCATTATTAGAAAAGATAAATGTAAAGAAAGATTTACTTCTCGGTTATAAAATAAGAAACATTTGGGCTTTGCAAACCCATAGAAGAGGTTTCATCTAACCTACTCTAAAAGAAATACTTACACACACACTTCTGTCCTTGTAATAAAACAGTCATACATGGACACATTCTATGTTGTTTCTATGTTATTTCAAGTTTCTTATCCATATACTCCAAAAATACTCTGCAGATTCTATTTCTGCTTTCATCAACCATAAAGTGAAATGTAAATTGTTGCTTTTGTATCATTTTCCAATAATGAGTAATTCAGATTTTTCAATTAATATTAATATTCTGGGAAAACCAAAACAAACTGTTTTACTATATTTATCATCCAAAAAGGAAAACGGTAACAAATACAAACAGAAAGATACAACATTTTGACATTATTAGTCGTTCATTTAAACTGAAAAATAACTCACCTTTTCACAAATGAATATGCGGTTTGAAAGCCATTTATCATGTGTAAAACTTATATATTATCCTTGAATATTTTTATGTTTAGGGCTAAAACGTTTTGGAATCCTGTGATTGTTAGAACACTACATCTCTGGTCCATCTCCATTTCCGTTAAAAATAAACCATTTTCTACTAAGTATTGACTCAATTGTTTAGGAGTGACTGTAAAGAGGGATGCAAGAACAGTACATACATTAGAGATTAGATATATGTTAATACCTGCCATTTAGCACGAAAATAAATGATAATTCAGTCCTTGTTTCATTCAATTTGAAAAGGAAGGTGTTATGGAATACCTTTCCAGCCCCAGGAATGAATAGATGAATGTGAGGGTTTCCGAGCTTTTGAACTCCGATGAATTCCGATGAGGGAGAGATATGAGAAGTGAATATGGATCTACAATTGAAAGTCTCCGAGGAGAAGAAATCCAAACATGGTATATATGTTGGAAATGGTATCACCAGTTGACATCACCTTTTCCTAATGTGCTGAGAAAGAAATAATACGGAGTAATAATACCTTTATGGTTCTCCAAATATACCACACCGACACATTCCTTGCCTCAAAATAGTATATCAAAGATTGTGGCTGGTTTCATAAGTAATTAGAGTATATAGTGTTAAGTAATTATGATTCGAGTCCCTCTTCTGGAAGAGTAGTTATCAAGTTTATTCTAAATGATTGAACTCAATAACAATTCTTCTGGAGGAGGGACTCGAATCTTGATTATATAAGACTTTTAATCACACTTTTTGTTTATTAAAAAAGACGAAAAAAGGGGCAAATAAGTCCACGTACTAACCAAAAAAGGTCAAATAAGCCTTTATATACGAGGCTCTGTCCGGCCGTCGCTATTTGGGGCGGTCCCCGGTGGAATTTTTTGATGAAATTTTTTTAGCATCTTATTCATTATGTCTAGTTTACTCATACCAAATTTCAGCTAACAATTCAATCGGAAAAGCATTCAAATGAATTCTTGAAGGTAACTGCATTTGAATGCTTTCCCGATTGAAGTTTTAGCTGAAATTGGGTATGAGCAAACTAGACGTCTAGACTTAATGAATAAGATGCTCAAAAAATTTCATCAAAAAATTACACCGGGAACCGCCCCAAATGGCGACGGCCGGACAGAGCCTCCTATATAAGAACTTATTTGACCTTTTTTTGTTAGTACGTGGGCTTATTTGCCTCTTTTCTCAAAAAGACGTGTTGGTCCCGTTTAATATGGTAACCAGTCTAGAGGGGGGGGGGGTGAATAGACTGGTTGGTTTTTCAACTTTTCTCTAAGTCCGAAGTGACTTATCAGAGAAGGTCTGATTCTGACGACAGAGAAAGGCTGGTTCTGATATCAGAACTGGCCTTGGCAGCGGATTCTGATCTGTCCGGGTAGCCTCAGAAAAATACTAAGGCAAATGCCTTTCTGATAACTCTGAAAACAAGATCTGCTGAACACAGATTCCAAGTTTTAGAGTTAATCAGTTAATATCCTAAGTGCAGAAATATAAATAGCAGTAAAGTAAATGACACCGGATATTTTATAGTGGTTCAAGGAACAACTCGTTCCTCTAGTCCACTGTTCCACTAGCTTTGAAGTAGATCAGTTACAAAGCTAATTCCTAGCACTTAAGAAGCACTCCTTGTCTTCTTCAAGCCTAGATGCCACCCAGGATGCAATTCCACGTCCTGATGGCTGATCCTTTCACTCAGCTTCCCGGAAGTATCACCACTTCACTACTGCAGTTACTTGGACGCCCTTCTTTTCAGAAGATCCTTTTGAAAAACAGAGTTTTTCCTCCAACTTGCTTCGTTACAAAGGATGTTTGATGAAGTTCTTGAAGTGTTGAAGAACAGGATGA